AAATAATAAATGACTTAAACTCGAAGCCTGTCGTATTTATTTAAAAAGGCGATCGCGGTCTCGTCTCCATCATCCTCCCCCGGTTGGGAAGGATTCGCCCTCGAATCCGGAACGGTCTCGTCTCCGTCCGAGTTGTCGCCCGTGAAAGGGACGAGATGCTTGACGTTGAAAACGTCTGAAGTACGGATATGAGAAGGAAGTCGTAGGCGATAAGCATTGGGGTTGATCTTCTCAACCACTTCCACCGGCCCAATCTTCCGAGCAGACAACTTATTATACTCATGAGCCGGAAACCGATCCTTAGTCAGAACAGCCCAAACGAAATCGCCTACCTCGAACTCCACATGGCGACGACGAGTGTCCGCCCTGGACTTGTACGCAGCTGTCGTGGCCTCCAACCGTGCCCGAGTCGCCGCATGTGTGGCCTGCAAGTCGGTAATGAGATCAGCGGCGCGACGATCCACGGCACACGAAGCAGGCAACGCTAACAAATCCGCCGGGCCACGGGGCTGCACCGCGTACACTGTCTGAAACGGAGAGAAACCGGTGGCGCGGCTGACGGCTGAGTTGTGTGCAAATTCGGCCTCACTCAGCCTTTGGTCCCAACTCTTAAGATTGTCGCCCACTAAACAACGAAGCAGGTTGCCCAACGAACGGTTCACCACCTCAGTCTGACCATCCGTCTGAGGATGATAGGCACTACTAAAGTCAAGACGGGTATTGGCCATGCGCCACAAACTACGCCAGAAGTGACTCAAGAACCGTGTATCGCGATCGGAAACTATCGAAGACGGGAGCCCATGGAGGTGGTACACCTCGCGAAAGAACAACTGGGCCACATGCACTGCATCAGTCGTACGCTTACAAGGCACGAAATGTACCATCTTCGAAAAACGATCAACCACGACAAAAATGGAGTCAAACCCACGTTGCGTCCGAGGTAAACCCAAAACAAAATCCATACTCACCGCACTCCACGGCTGAGAAGGGATAGGCAATGGCCGGTATAACCCGGCATTAGAGGCCACACCCTTCGAAACATGGCAGACACGACACCGTTCCACGAAACGGGCCACATCCCGTCGAAGCGACGGCCAGAAGTACGACCGGCTCACCAACTCCACGGATCTATCGCGACCCACGTGGCCAACGCCATGGAGCTCAGCGACAAGGCGCAGACGGAGGCTGCAATCAGGAATGCATAGGCGAGTGCCCCGAAATAGAAACCCGTCCGACATACTGTAATCCTCAAACGGAGCCGTCTCGAGGCGGCGCACGATCGGCCCAAAAAATGCATCATCTCCGTAAACCTCTCGTAAGACATTAAACCCCACAACAGCCACGCGCAAATCTGTTAAGAGAAGAGCACGCCGGCTCAAAGCATCGGCCACGCGATTCGAAGCCCCAGACCGATGGCGAAGGACAAAAGTGAACTGCTGAAGGAAAGCCGTCCACGATGCGTGCCGGGCCGAAATATTGTCCTGCGTGGCTAAATGTCTCAAAGCCTCGTGGTCAGTGTAAAGAAGAAACTCGCGGTGAAAGAGATAATGTCGCCAATGACGAACAGCACGGACCACGGCATAGAATTCCACATCGTAAGTACTGTACCGAGCCCGGGGGCCCGACAACTTCTCGCTAAAGAAACAAACCGGACGACCGTCTTGGCTGAGAACAGCACCAATACCAACCTTCGACGCATCACAAGACAACTCGAAAGGCCTAGTAAAATCGGGCAAAAAGAGAAGAGGTGCAGAACACAACTTGGTCTTAATGAGAGCAAAAGCCGCTTCAGCCTCCGGTGTCCACACAAATGACTTGCCCGTGAGGCAATCAGTAATCGGAGCCGTAATGGTACTGAAATGATGAATAAAGCGGCGATAGAACGAGGCCAGGCCATGAAAGCTCCGTGCCTCAGTAAAAGAAGTCGGGGAAGGCCAATCCCGAATAGCAGCCACCTTGCTGTCGTCGACCCGAATACCATGTGCCGAGATCACAAAGCCCAAAAATAACACAGAATCCACCAAGAAGGAGCACTTACGAGGAGCAGCAAAAAAAGACTCAGCCCGCAAAACCAACAGGACGGAACGAACATGCTGCAAATGCTCCTCCACCGAACGACTGTAAATGAGGATGTCGTCGAAATAGACGACGACGCAAGTGCCGATGAAATCACGAAGAGCCTGGTTCATGACCCTCATGAAAGTACTCGGAGCATTGGACAGGCCAAACGGCATGACCATCCACTCGAACAGCCCCTCTCGGATTTTGAACGCCGTCTTCCACTCATCCCCAGGCCGAATACGTATCTGGTGATAGCCGCTACGGAGATCCAGCTTAGTGAACACGCAGGCACCATGCAGCTGATCCAGCAAATCATCGAGGCGAGGAATGGGAAACCGGTAACGAACCGTGATTTTATTAATTGCACGGCTATCAACACACATCCGCCACGAGTTATCCTTCTTGGGGATGAGAAGGGCCGGGACCGCACACGGGCTCAAACTCCTACGAACCACACCCCGCTGGAGAAGCTCCTCAACTTGACGGCGAAGCTCCTCATGCTCCATAGGACTCATCCGGTAGTGAGGGCGA